TTCTAAACACTTGAAATATTTGGATCAGTTAAACAAATTTAGTATAGGAGATAAGGAAACTGAACACAGGATATGTTTTTCTAGGGGTACTTTTGCCCAGAAGTGTCATGTCACATGAGTTCCATGACCCATTAGGATCTTAGAGGTGCCATGTGTATTGCAACCAAAGCAGCAGTGGTGTGTCTAGGGCAAGATGAAGCCCATCCTTCTTCAGGCTAGTTTTGAATTTAGTTTTCCTTCACTGATTGTTACATCAAGGCAAGAAAGCTCACTCAGCATTTCTATTTAACCCATAGCTAAAGGGACAATAGATGGAGTCATACCTTTCTCAAGGTTATTTGTGCAAAAGTAAATGTAACAAACTTGGCCAGAATTCAAATTCTGCTGACCAATTTCTCTTTCCGATTCACCATTACACAAGCTGCACATCCTTTCAGTACTGTAACATGCTACAAGACCAAAATCGTGACCTGAAAACTGGTCATGTTGTTAGCCATGTCAGATCTAGCTTTTCATATGGATGTCATGCATGGCATCCAACTTGTTCATAAATGTTTAAACTATCATCAATTGTTTTCTCAGATCAATAGTTAAAAATAGCTTGAAATTAATCTTAAAGAAGACTATCATTTATCAGACTCTATAGATTAGCACTACAAAATCACAAATGAAGAGCATTACCAAATAACAAAAGCCACATCATTTGAACACTTCCAGCTGCAGTAACAACAACAAAAAAGTGGGTAGCATATGCAACTAGAAAGAGAAAATGATATAATCAAGATATTAACTTTCCACACTACCAAAAACGAAAAGCTTGGAAGGAAACTCCCATCAATATTAGAAAGATCTGTAACATTTAGTGAACTTGAAGTCTAATTTCCCAAAAATTTCAATCAACAGTCATACTGTTTAGTCAATGAATACTGAAAGATTCTTGTATGGAAATGGTTAATTTTATTATTACCATTGTTTAGAATTACTAGTTAGAAATTATTTATCAACTCAAATATTAAATTTGTGGATTTGATTCTCAACATTTTAGTGTAAATTGACTGTCTTTTATTAAAATGTGTTGTCATACCATTTCTTAATATTCTTTCTTGTCTAATTTGTGACAACACTATAATCTACATTCCTCATAAGTTGAAAAAAAAAACTTGTTTTATGATAAAAATATATTTTAAAGTAAAATCTTAGCTTCACAGCATTTTACACTGTAGAATTGACATTTTTTTTTTCATGTTAAAATAATATATATACCTCTAAAAGAAAGTGTTAGCTAAGGTTTAAAATGTATTTTAAAAATGAAAAATTTTGAACCTTTTTCATTTTAATTCCAAGCTAATAGATTAAATTTAACATTTCCATAAGCAGTATTTCAAACTGAATTTAAATTGAGATTGGAATGCCTTTTTTTTTTTTTTCTATTTTATTATCAGTAAAATCATCAATACTGACAAATCTGTCAACACAAATTCTCTTTATTAGAAAATCTTTCAAAAATAAAATATATACTTCTGAAATGTAATTTGAGAATAATTCGCTGATTTAAAGTTTAATTAATCTGAATTAAAAACAAATATTACTTTTAGTTTAAAACATTACAGAAAATCATTTTTTTTAAACTGTATTTTTTATGAGATGTTGACACATTTATTCAGTCTGAGGCTTGAGAATTTATCTAAGATAGTTATAATAAAATTACATGAGAAATATAACAAACACTTTTTTTTTACATAATTTTTTTTTAACTACTCAGTAATTTTAAATATTTTAAGCATTCTAATATTTTATTGAATTTTTTAGGTACTTTAGTTTTATAGTTTTAATTATAAAGATACTTGTTGAGGAAATATGAGAAAATTACCAATAAATTTTAAATTTACTATAGTTACCACTCTTATTTTCTGACAATGTTGTGTATGGTTGTCCATATTTACAAAAATCAGTACACATAAAAAACATTAAATTCTTTTTAAAATATTGGCTTTCGCTAAGCTGTATTAAGCTTTTCCATTTATGATTAGTAAATACATTTTGTATTTAGTAACAATATCACATGACCACTACAAAATTTCAAAAGATTTAAGTTTATAAATCATTTTAATTATCCCCACCTACAAAAAAAAATAAATAAATAAAAATAGTTCTTGTAAAAATTCATTATTCATCAGAAAAAAAAATTTTTCCATTAAGTGAATAGTGTCCATAATATATTTTATTCATAAAAGCTTTTCTAATTGAATAATGTCTTATTGCATTCTATTTATTTTACAATTCAGAGCAAATTTTCTGTAACTGGGGGTTATGTTTGACAAAAAGAAAAAAAAATTGATTTAAATTTTCCCAGCACTTGTCCTTATAACCAATATAAACATTAAGCACTGCAAAAAACTGTTTCTTGAAATTTCAGAAATTAAATAAGTGGTTGGTAACAGATGTTATATATATATATATATATATATATATATATATATATAAAACAATGATGAATCTCAAAGACATGTATTGTGCTGAATGTGTGGGGGAAAATGCTTCTACTTATGTATAATATGCAACCCTCGTTTGGTAATCAAACCCTATAAATTGTACCTCTACAATTTCATTACAGCCAGTGTTTCCTACTCTTATGTAAAAAAAAATGGTTTTAAACAGTAAATAATGTTATTCTTCTTTAGTTTTATGATAATTCTTATTTTATTTTACATTTGTAAGTATTGCTAGGGACATATGATTCTATTTGACATTCTTATGTGGGTAGCAGTTGCTAAATGTTAATGTCAAATTGTAATATGTTTGTGGTGAGTAGTCATTTCGCAACTGAAATTGACCTATGAAATGGGAATTTTTTAAAGATTTTTTGTAGCTGTGCATAATACAGACCCCTAATTTTGCTTATTATTTTTTAGAAAAACAATGTGTATTATACATGGGGTATATTATTATGGTATATTATAAAATTTTCTATAAAAAATGTTTAAAAAATAATTTCATTCATTAGTGAATAAGTCCTGAAAATTTCATTAAATCTGATAATTATTTGATTTTGTAAGAATTTTGAAATGTGTTTTCACCACAAAAAGATGTTCAAGTTTCCCATACAACTTTATGGTCCCATGTTGATGCCAGAAAAAATTAGATTCTTAACCAAAATTTCAAAAGTTCTAAAAAAAAAAAAATCCTATTGTCTTTCCTCTTAATAACAAAGATTTTGATGATAGAGCTGTTTTAAGTTTTGGGCATCTTTTCATCATGTATGCTCATAGTGAATCTTTAGACACACACACACACACACACACACACACACACACACACACACACACTTTGTATTTTTACTGCTGACTTCAGAGCTTCAAATTTGATAGATGGCAAGTAGCGCAAGTTGTTTTTTGTTTTTCTTTTTAAAAAAAGAAAGAAAATATATTTATTGGAAATGACTTAATATTATTTTATGTATTTAAAACCAAATAATAAAAAAAATGATCTGGATATCACTCTCTCCTTTTTGCATATGATTTTCTTTAGGTAATCCAGGATCTAGAACATTGTTTTTTTTTTTTGTTGTTGTTTTTTTTGTTTTTTTCCATCAGTAATAATAAAAAAAAAAATTAAAATTTTCACTTATAAGAAAAATGTAACAATGGAAATGTGAAGGGATCTTTTTTTTTTTTTTTAATGGTATTTTCTCATAAAAGGATATTTCAGTGTTATTTTTTACATGACAGTGACATGACCTTATTCTCATTCACCTTCCTCCTCCTGATTAGGAATGTTATTTCTATACAATACATTATGCCTACAGTTTTCTGTTTAAATAAAAAGGCACTCCTCAACATAGTATAGCCAGTTTGGATGTCATTATTTCCTCATGACTTCACTTCCATCTATGCTAAGTGAATATCTCCTGATGGTTCTTTTTCTTTTCTTTTCTTTTTTTTTCTTTTTTTTTTTTTTTTTTACTGTTTTCACGCACAAAAGCTAACAACTTAAATTCAAGTAAATTTCACTCACTTGTACCTTTTTATGCTTTATATTGCTGACATGCAAGTGTTTAAAAAAAGTAAAATGTTAACTTTATCCTTTTTTTCCCATACAAATGAATTCTATTTTGAAATCATTCTTCTGTGTATTGGAGCACTTTGTTTTCAAATCTTAATATGAAACTGTTACAATTTGACACCACATGAAAATGAATTCTAAGTTTCTTCAGGATATTTCAATAATTCTATGTTGTCATACCTGTGGATATTATGATTTAAGCACTAAGGTATGTTATTTCTTTCTTCAATCTTTTGTTTAGCTGCTTTACTGCTTTTTATTTCTTAAGCATGCAGCTATTTATAGATGCTATAACAAATTTTTATTCCCTAATCATAATATTAAGGATGTATCGATAATGTGACAGAAATTGGCACAGAAAGTGAAATTGGAAAGCCAAGTTTAAATGCTGGACTCATCCGTTGCATTCACTTTCACACTTACAAAAGGCATGGGTCCATCCCTTCTGTTTCCAATTATATATTAAATAGCAGAGTAGATTGAGTGGCAACCAGTCTAAGAGAAGAAAAACTGAAAAGGCCAGTGGGAAACCATTGTCTTTCTCAAGAATTCATTCTAATTTGCAGAAAAAAAAAGGAATCTATTGAGAACCATGATTGCTTATGTCCTGAAGTGACATGGTATTTAAAAATATATATATATATAATATTACTCTGGATTTTGGTTCACAAAAACTATTTTGTCAAATTTTTGGTATTAATAAAAAACGTTTTACATAATTCTTCATTAACAATTAGCTTAGATTTAAATTATTTATTTTCTAATTATAGCATTTATATTTTTGCTTAGTCAGTTATACAAATACTTACATTTTCATATACTTGAATTCAGCACATTATTTTTTTATAGTTTCATTCCATGAAAAATATTTTCAGTTTGAAAACTTGTATCAAGATTTTGATTTCTCTTCTGTATATTTTATTTTTTTTTTTTTATAGGAGACCTCAGATAATCTTGAATTAGAACAGGTTTCTGGTCCCCAAATATCTGTGGTTACTCCAAAATCTGCCCTAGAGGTAACCAGTGAGGAGGATCCTGAATCAGCCTTTGATATTGAAATGCCTCCCCCAATGGCCATCCAGGACCACACATTTGCTGCAGCCCAGCCCCCAGCACCAGATGAAAGTCATACAAAACTTGTAAGTTATACTCTATTTATTTATTTGTGGTGAACATTAATAAATATTTTCTATTTTCAGGATCTTTATTTTCTTACATTAATTTCAAGATATTTAACCAGTTAAAGAAAAATACAATTTGTATATTTTTTTTGGAGTTCATAATTTCAGTATAGGTATTTATCAAACACAGTCAGTTTTGACTTGTAAACCTTTTTTTTTTATTCTTTTTATTAGTATAATTGTATGTATTAATCGTATTGTTTTAATAAAAGGTGCCAATTGTTTTAAAACTGAACTTTCACTTAGTTAATGACCATGATTATACTAAGAATAAGTAAAGATGCTTACTTGACTTCTGCTCTGAGATATTAAATTCTCTATACCTGAATACTTTGTTAATCATAAGAGAAATTATTTTAAGCTATGGAATAAAATTCTAGTTATTTCCCATGACAAGAAAAAGTAGTCTGTCAAGTTCTCTTGCTAAATTTAATCTTTTTCCCCCCTTCTTATATATATATCATTATTAAAGATCTTAAGAAATATGTGAAAATATTTTAATTTTCTGAATATTAAAGGAGACCTGATGTGAAGCCACGTATGTTTTTTTTTTAATCCTAGTCATTGACTATTTTTCTGCAGAAATAATCATCAAGGTATACAATTTAGTACTTATGGGAAATTTGGATTAAAAAAAAAAAATGCTTCTGTCTTCCCTGAATCACTTCTTAGCTAAACATTCAAATATCAAGAAAATTAATTCAAGAATATTTTTTAATGCATAGCAATTAACTAGAAAAAAATATTCTATCAGTAACTAACAACGTTTGCTTAAAAATAATTTAAATGCACAGTAATATTTACTCTAATTTTGCATGTAAATTTAGTCCATTGTAAAGAATTATAAAGTTTGTGTAATTGTTTCTTTCAATTGACTTTCAAACTGCAATTACTTGATTTTTACGTAATATTTTTTTAATAATCATTATAGGAGCTTGTTTTAGTACCTAAAATGCATCTATAATTTAAAAAATATACAGTTTATCAAGTTCACTCAAGGTTTATATTATAAGTAATTTAGTAACAATACATTATTTATTAAAACAAAATTTTGTTCTTATACAGTTGTTTAAAATACTCATTAAAAATTCTACCAGAAATTATCAGTAACAGTGGTTAATTAGTTAAGAATATAATTCATACATGTTCATTAATTGCCTGATATTACAAGATTCTATTATTCAGTTATTGTTGTAACATAAATATGTGCAGTCTTTTAAGTTATTTGTCCTTGGAGGATGAAAATTTAGCTTAAAATGGTAATATATTTACTAATAAAATTTCAGGTCATGTTTACTCATTCTAAAGTATTGACAGTTCAGGGTTAGATTAATAAGGATTCTGGAAAACATTAAAATTAAGGAAACTTTTTTTAACTGCTTATTTTCTAGGGCTTCCAATATTTTTTCTTCAAAACTGGCAATTGTCGTAGCTGTGGGAAGTCTGTGACAGGTGGTATTCACGAAGAACTTGTGTGTGATACTGTTTACCAGTTCTTGTCTGTGTTATGCCACAGCTTGCCAGTCATCCTCTCTAAGTTGTTGCTTAGCAACTGTAGGAAAATGTTCTTGTTCTTGCTATGATTCTAGTTTCTGTCAATTTGATACAGATTGTTTACAACAGGCAAAGGTGGATACAATCTGTAAATTAGATTTTAAAAACACACGTACACACATTCTACAAGAATAGATAATTTGCTTTAGGTAACTTTTGGATGAAATATGAAAGTTGCAAATATATCATGTTCAGCATTTATTGCAGATAATAAACACACTACGCTTTTTGATGCTAATACTTTAAATGTTCATCAAATGCTTATTTGAATTTTTTTTTTTTTTTTTACTCCTAATTTTTAATAAAATTTTTGTAAGTTCCAATAAAATATATACTTTTATTTTCAGCTTTGTAAGAACTCAATTGTTGTGTATCAAGTGTCTTGCTTTTCATTATTTTATTTTTTATTTAGGTATTTTCAGTTTTGCTGAATTGTTTTGAAGATACTAAAACTAATTTTGTCTCTTATTGTAATGTTAAATAATTTTTCTGACTTTAATCACTGTAAAAAGTTGGTGAAATGATGTGTAACGTATTTGTAAATTGCTGTTCATTCAACTATGGATGCTTTGGCCTCAATCTAAAAATATCTTCATTAATTTCTAACCTTATAACATGTTGCAGTCTCTCAGGGAAAATTTTAATTATGGTTTTTTAGAGCTTCTTACAAAAATTAACTTAATTTCCTGTTCGTACTTTTAAATTTTGATATTGAAATATTGACTAAAACATTTTTAGCACCCCTTCCCCTTATGTTTTCTTCAGTGCTGCTTTTTCACATTTAATTTCTCTATTAGTCTTACTCTTCTAGTTTGTTTTCACTTAGTACTTTTAATTATCAAACCATTTACCTACATTGTTTTTTTTTTGTTTTTTTTTTAAACCACTTTGTCCCCTTCATTTTCATTTTTTTTCTTTCTTTTTTTAAGAAAAGATTTGTACACATTAACAAGCTTAATAATGAGCAAATCAGATGACAATTGCTATTTTCAGCTGTTTGAAAAAATAGTCGTTAATTGCAAAAAACTTTTGGCTTTGAAAATAATTTAACACTGTTATAATTTACCATTTCTTTTTATGTTTAAAAGCATTTAAAAACTTATTTGCCCTAGCAATGTAATGTCATTTGCTCATATATTTTTTTTAATTTTTAATCCTTGCAACTTTCAATGCACTTAAAAAGTGGTAATATTTTCCATGCATACCATTAGATTAATTTGTAAAGTTTTCCATTTACTGAAAGAAAGTGGCATTTTATTTTTTTTTTTTTGCTTTAGTTTCTAATTATTCATTAAATTTGTTTCTATTGTGTTTGTAACTGTGATGATTACAATTATTTCTATTAAAGACATACACCTCAATACAACGGTTCACTTAAGAAAAAATTGTTATCTAATCACTGGTATTTATCTAAACCAGGAAGTTAGCTACTAAAAAAGAAACCTGACATTGTTAAAAATAAGAAACTATTTTATTTTGTTTATTTGGCACAAAATTAGTGACACTCTTTTTTTCCAGTAAACATTGAACATGTTCTATTACAAATGGCAAGTGAGATATACCTTATATATATATATATATATATATATATATTTCATCATCATACAAGGGGATGCTGAAAAATTTGCAGCTCAATCCACAATCATTTTTATTTTTTAATCCTGTCTTAGTTGAGTCTAGAACATTTTAGCACCCATTGTAGAAGTCATAAATATAATGCATAACTTCATAAAGTCTGTTATTAAAAATCTCATGTTGAAGTTTCTTTATCACATAAACTTTTATAATTGTAGATTCTATAAACCTACTAATCCACATGCCACTGAAATTTCTCTAAATGAAACCGCTATTTTTATACTTTCATGCAACATGTCTTAATCTGATTGGCAAAGTCTCTAAAATAGTTTTGAGAGCTCAATGAAAGTATATTTCTTCACACATATCAACACAGATATGGTTGTAAGCAACAATCTGAGTTTCTACAAGTTACTTTGCTTTAGACAGCTTTCACATTCATTCAGATGTCATGCAACTGCATTACTTGAATTTTGTATATCTTCTCTCTTTTTTTCTTTTACTATTTAACAGTTCATTTTACAAATCAGGAAAATAATTATAAGCTGTATTAAAAAAGAAATTAAAATTGATATAAGTTTTATTTGAAAAAGTACTGCCACTTTCCTTTTCTTACCTCTTCAGGCAAAACAATACTGAAAAAAAAAGTTGCAATGAGTTCTGAGCTTAGGAGAAATGAATTTTATGTGTAACATTTATACACAAGTTTCTTATATAATTTTTTTTTTAAGTAACCGTAGAATAAATTAGTATACTCTTTTAATTGATAGCTGTTTACCTGTTAATTTTCATCTTAAGTTGCAATTGCATCGTATAACCTCAATTCAAGAATTTGATTCAAAGTCTTCTATTTATGTTTATATTATATTATAATCATGTATTTACTACTTCTTGATGGTTTTTTTCTTAAGAATATTTTGATTATTTGGCTATTTTACTCATTAAATTATTGAAGAATTTGATTAGAAGTTAGGTTACATCAATGTTGATTTTTACAAAATTTGCGTTTTTTCTTTTATAATCTTTATGAAATGATAAATTCAAGTTTGTAATATTATTGAAAACTACATCATCTGATTGGTTCCCTTTTTTAGTATGTTTATCAACCAGGTATTTACTCGTTTAATAGTTTTATATTTAATTTATGAAAAAAGTGTTGATGTATTTTATTTGATATACTGGCCTGTTGATACATAGGATATCTTTTGTCAGAAAATGATGACGGCTCATTATATACTTTCCCTATTACCTGAAAGTTCATTATCTTCCCTAAACTTAATAATTCCTACATATTTTTAAAACAAGGATTAAATGCTATGTAAATTTATTCAGTAATGGTTTTTTGGGTTTTTTTAACCCTCTTTACTGAAAGTTTATTTGTAAAAACACCAGGAACTGCTGCTACTTTTTTGTAGTTGAAGATTCAGTATATGTGATCTTCAGATACTGAAGGAATTCCTAGATTGAATCTGGACACTGCTCCAGGTGTATGTCTCCTGCTGCTACCTATATGGGATACACCTTAACCCTGCCTGCTTCCCTGCCTTTCACTTGCTGGAGGTTCTTCCATCTCTCATTTTAGAACATACTTAAATGCTGCTGGCCTAGTTCCTCTCTGTCTGTTTTGCCTTTCCCTCAGCTGTGCCTCTCCTTTCAAGTAGAGTGTCTATCCAGCTAGCATACTAATAGCATTGTGAAATCTCTTACAGGCCTCAACACTTTCTCTGAAGGCACAAACAGAAGCTGCTACAGCAGCTAGTGCTGTAGACTTGGCTACAGAAATTGAAAATATTGTCAAACAGAAGATGGTAAGTACCACCCTGGACCTTTGCTGCTACTCTTGTAACAGCTTTTCTGGTTTCGATAGGGTGTGATCATGGAGAGAAAAAAACAAACTTTTGCCCAATATTGGTTGGCATGTTCTTCTGTGTTTGCTAGATTTTGTGTCTTTTTATTTATATTTTTATTACATATAATCTAGTTGTTCTATTTTAAAATAGTTTGGGTTATCAGCACCTGTCTTGTTTCACCCATAGGTGTGGCTTTTCTACACTTTTTTTTATTTATTTTTTTATATATTTTCCACAATGTTTTATTTTGAAGATCCTAATTTTCAGTTATATTTGTGTGTAATGTGCTTACTTTTCTTTTTAGTCCTTTTCCTTCCAATGTTTATTTTATAATTCACTTTAGTTTTTTGGTTTGTGCATGCATTTTGTATGTTTACCTTGAAAACTCTGTGTGTGTGTGTTTTATTGCACAGTTTGTTGAACCAACTTCACTTTATCCAAAAAAGGCATGTTTTTAAGTTATAGAAAATGTTTATGTATCATGTAATACATTGACCACTAATTATTATTATTGATTTGCATGTTTGCCTAACTTGTTTCATCTTTCAGGAGTGTCAACTCTAACATGTTTTATGTGAAATTTTATTGCTTATTGTAGCCTAATAAATTAACACCATTTGTAAAGTAACTAATCTTAATCACCTGATTGTTTTATTTTGTTCCTTATATTTCAATTTTCTTTTGCATTGAATATAATGCTTTAATGCTCTTTTATTTCAGTTTATCATCTTCAAAAATCACTGCATACTTTGCTTGAATTGATATTTTCCAACATGAAAAATTTTTAAACCATTTTTCTTTTAATATACTAATAAAAATATTTTCAATAAAATGCCCTTATATAATATTTGAAGTTAAACCCAATAATTTACCAAGAGAATAAAAAAAAAAAAATATTTTTATAATTATCTGTAAAACATTTAAAAAAAAAAAAAGAGAAAGAAATGCTAAAAGTACTGCTGTTATAATTAGTATCATTGTAAAAAGAGATATCAAATAACATAGGGCAACACACTCACACAAAGGCATTGCAGATCTTTCATATCTACAGGTTGTAGTTGTGAGTCATACTCCAAGCCATGAATATTTGGGATAAATATTTAATCCTTACTTATTTGGAGAGGGGAAAAACAAAAAAATAATAGGTTTAATAATAATAATAAGAGGAAGAAGAATATTACTTTATAACTATTATACAGCTGTCAACATTAACAAAAGGGCTTTTTATTTGGTTTGGACTACATAGTCATCTATAGTTCACATATAGTTGAAATTTATATTAGATATTTTGCATTAAATTTTTTTCTTACTTAGTAACAATTACATTTTACATAATCCACAATTACCATCTCTTATGCATAGACATATTTTTAATTCTTTATCAAGGGAAATATTGATATTTTAATTTCAATTTATATCACAAAAAGGTATTTGTAATATTTTTGACACTAAAAATGAGTTAAATTTTGAAAGTTTTTGAGAACATTCTTAAAGATCTGTCAAATTTTAAAGTCTTTTCATTGATACAACTGAAATGTTTATTAAATTATATTGTTTTCTTTGAAAGACAGTAGTTCTCTCTCCTTGCAAAGTATTTTTTAAAGCTATAAATAGATTTCTTTAAATAACAGCAATCAGCAAGCACATTGCAGAGATAAGAAATATCTTGTAAAACTGACTTTTTTTTTTCTTCCTGTCTTTACACATATTTTTGTGTATTTAATTTGGAATGCAGATATATTTATCAATTTTATTAAAATGTTCTTCCTTACAGGATCCACGGTTGTCCAATTTGACTATTTTTGAAAATTTACTATCTCTAAATTTTGAATTTCATTTCTTGCCTAGGCTACTTTTAAAATAAGCTGAACTAATTTGGTCTACTAATAAGTCAATTTACAATTTAATAGTACCGGACTTTTAAATGCTGTCCTAATTCAGTACTTATTACTCAATCTGGCAACCTTGACAGGATCCTTGATTTAATTTTTTATTTTATTTATTGGGTAGAGTGTAGAAGTTTTTTGTTGTTTTTTTTATACTTCTGTAAATTGCAGATATGTATTTTTATAATCTTTCATGACAATATCTTAATAATTAAAATTGCACTCTTTTTTAGAAATGATTTCTGTTAGAAAGTTTTTAAATATTTTATAGTTAACAAAACTTTAAACAAAAGTACAGATGATAATGATTTGGTATAAAGTTATTTACATTTAGGCAAATTATAAATTCCTTTGCAATAGGTTTGTTTCAATGTCATTATTGTGGAATCCCTGATCATTCTGTAAGAACTGGAAAGATAAAAAATGATAGATGTCAAGTAGGGTGGGGACAGCATAATTTCTCAACTCAAGTAAAATATTTTTTCCTCTTTCTCCACCAATCATCTGTACAGTATATTATCTGGAATTGTTGTGCAGCATACAGATATTACATAATTGTGGGTGTTTCCAACCCAGACACATTCTGCAATTGCATACAGTACACTTCAACAGTGCTCAGCATACAATAGTTTGGGCTTGGCTATAGTGGTGGCATTCTTGCTTGTCCAGTTTTGTTTGCATGTCATATACAAACACCACTTTTCATAATCCACAATAAATGATTTCTAGCCATGTAAATAGATGCATTCCAAAAAAATCAAATATGAAAATATTCGCATGATAATTTCAGTTGCCATCTGTCGATGAATGTGAAATTTAATTTCTTAGTTTAAAGACTTAAATGGCCCTTGGTGAAATGAATTCAGTTAATGCACCATTTCTCACCATTCAGGACTGGCTTACTTAATCTGGCATAATTCTTCCTTATCCAATTCAAATGGTCATCTATAGAGTGTTGGAATTTGTTAAATGTAAGTTGAATCAAAAGGTTGGCAATCATTCTACACCTGGAAATTCAAGAAATGTTTCTAATGTTCAAGGCTTTCTTACCAAACTAATATTTTTATATTGATTATTAATATTATAGACTAGATATAATGGATGAAATGGACACTCCATTTACTTAAAAGTATAACCTGATAGTTCAGAATTTTGAACTGCTAGAGTAAAAATAGAATTTTTGCAGAAAGCTTATCGATAGATGATAAATGATAGAATTGAATTGTGATCTAATTTAAAAAAACATATTTACTAAAGAACTTTACTTTCTCTTGTGATTCCTACCTTTGTATTTTTCCTAAAATGTACTGAATCAGGTTTGTCCAATGCAAACATGGTGCTGTACAAAGCTTAGTAAATATCTAAAGAAGTTCAATGTACATTTTGCGTGTTTGGGGAAATAAGAATATCTAATATAGCAATACTAATGTTTCTAATACATCATTTAATTTCTTCACAAAATTTTATTTTTTTATCCTCTATACTATATAGAAAAAATATTTAAACCAGAATAAAAGATAAAATTTTACTCTTGTTAATATTTATACACATAATATCATTCAGATAAGTTCTAAAATCAGTCATTTTGTTAGTGCCTATTGCAACAGCCCATAAAGCTCAGGCTAACTAATTTTTTTTTTTTTTTTAATCTGATCTGATTTCTTGTCATTTATAGTAAGTAACATATCTTCAATAAATATTGCTTCATTTTTTTTCAAGTTGTTTTTTATTGATATAGATTTGTTTTTGTTTTTTTTTTTTTTTTTAAAGGAACAAACTGATTCCACATTGTCTGCTGCTTCGTCAACATTGTCTCAAACAGTATCAGGCATAAGTGGATCAGAAGAACAAGGTGAAGCAGTAGCGGCAGCAGAACAAACAAGTGAATCAGAAAACAAGGGGCCAGGTGGAGAAGTTTCTGATAAAGAGAAATATCTTCTTAAGCGAATGTAAGTAATTTCTCACTGTAGCTACTCAACTGATACCATGACAAGAATATTTAGTGACCTGTTCATATTTTTATTCATACACTTTGTTTTAGCTTCACTTCTTCATAAGTATATTTCATCTTAATAAAATCTTACATTTATTTCCTAAGTTCTAATCTGAGTAACTTAATTTGGAAATAATCAACTGTCTTTTACCATACAACATTCTTTATTATTCTTACTGTTTTTGCCACTTTGATAAAAACCATTCTAAAAGAAAAATGTAAAAAAAATTTTTATCTGGTCATCTTCATTTTAATATTTGAAAATAGTTTATTTGTTCCTTTTCAGGATTCCACTGAATTCTACACCTTTTATTAATATTTTGGTAATTGATTAATTACAACCAGGCAACTTTAATTATAAATTTTAACATCAGCTCAATACCAAATATTCCAAAGTACCTTTATATGAAATAGCTACAGGTTTTGTCTATATAAACCCTAAATAATGCTTCATATACAATCAAGCTGTTTTGTTAGTTTCAGTTATAAAAAATTTCTTTGTCTCTTAGCATGGACAGGGATATATGAATCATAATGTAAATTTTCATTTGTAGAACATGGGAAAAAAAAAGATTGAATTCACAAGATTACCCCCCCGCTGTTTTTGTACCAGAGATAAAATGAACATTGAAGAATAATATTAGTAATATATCAGTCAGTTATGTGCCATGCGTGATACATGCTTAGGCAATCATGTATCGAAAGATACATGACTGACGAGGCAGATTTTTTCCTGCAGTAGGTTGCCATTTCTTTCTGCGGTAGACCAGTTGCTATACAAGGCTATAGAACCCGATCTGCCCTACTATTTACCCATAGCTGGGGAGAGAAGAAAAGGATTCATACCTTTCCCAAGGGTATTACCATGTAAGTGAATGTAATGGATTTGACTGGGATTCAAACTTGGCTCTCCAATTCCTCAATCCGAGCCACTATCCATTACTTCACCATGCCTCTTAATATATCAGCAATACATAATGTCTAAATGTCATGTTAATCTTAAACCATATAAACTTAAAATATTCTAAATTTACCATTACTTATATCAGCACAACTATTTTATAAACTTATCATGAATACATTACTGGAAATCAGCTATTCAAATTACTGTATCAGTATATGGTTTGGTGAGGACTTTATTCATAAATAATTTTAACTAATATTAAGAAAAATATAAGAAGCCAAGTTATAAACCTGAAAGACGTTTATCAGAACTAATGCATGTATTGATTTGGAAATTATTTTATTAACCAAAGAAAATATCCTTTTTAGAATTCAAATATCAATTTATGCTACTGTGTTCAAAAGATTATTTAAATATTTGAAATATATTCTTAACAAATCTTGTTACAGTAGTAATTACATTTACTGAGTTTTTAATAGTGAATTTAAAATAGCATTGTGTATGAATGCTAGTAAATCCCCTTTTTTTCCTCTTTTCTTTCTTTCTCTAATATCTTGGTTTAATATGTAGATATTATTGTAAGAGATTTACTCCACATTTGTATTATTTTCTCTATATTTGATCTGGATTGGTGTATATTTACATGTGTATGTAGTAAGTTTTTGGTGTTCAGGCCTTTTTTTTTAGAGAATTAGAAAGAAATTATTTATTTTTAATCATTTTGTCAAGTGTATTCTATGACTCTATGCACAGGGTTTGCCTTTTTTATTTGTATTTTATTTTCTTTCCAGTTATGTGATAAAGGAGTTAATAGAGACCGAGAAAGATTATGTAAAAGACTTAGGTGCAATTGTTGAGGTAAGTTTATACAGAGATTTGTCAACTTTTTCATTTTATCTGCAAAACCAATTAATCTAATTTATATCTTTTGAGAGTTCCTCATATGATGAAACAAAATAAGCAAAATGTATCTTCATTTTCTTTCTTTCCTCTATTTTGTGAATGAAAGATTGATTTTGTCTAAAATAATTTGTCTAATTTTTCATTAGGTGTGATGCCTAAAGTTCATTTTTATGTAAATTATGTTTAATGTCACCTTTTGACTTTTATGGAGTTTACAATTACTCTTGAGGTATAGATTACTGATTAATCTTTATATACCTGTCAAATCAGGTTAGCATCTATTCTACTAGAGTAGGTTTATCATCTGTTTGTGATATTTAAATAACCTAACAAAAATATTTCTTGTTTCTCTTAAAAGAGGTTACGGTTTTGTTTTTAGTTGTTGGTGACTACTTTTTTTTTTTTTTTTTAAGGTTCTAAAACGCAACCTACGGTTTTTGTTTTTAACTGTTGGGGTTTTTTTGGGGTTTTTTTTTTTCTCATGAAAAAAAAATCTACATTGAATTACAACAAAAAACTGAATAAGATTGGGTATATATTAAATATATTCTTTGTAGAGCGTTGGGTATTTACATATTGTTGAACTGAAGCATCTCAATGGTTCTTTGTATTTATTGTTTATATATATATATATATATATATATATATATATATATATATATATATATATATATATACAAATAAAGAGAACAGATTAAGAATTGACAGTTCTTAGCATTTACTTTATTCTTAAAAAATATTCAATACAACATAGAGCAAAATATTATTAATATTCTGCATCACTATGTAAAATATATATAATAACATGCAGTAAGCTTTCTCAGTTTTTAATAATATATATTAGAACATCAAAGTAGAACAGATGTGTCCTGAACACCCCTTTAGCAGTTTTAATCTTGAATTGTTTATAACAGCTCATCTGACTTAAGTGGTTAAAAGCTGTAAGTAGCAGCTGTATGGGGAATGCAGTTGCCAGTGCTGAACAACAGGAAAATCTTCATTTGCATTTTATGAATTTCTGCTTCATTTGTGTTTGGCTGATGATAATTATTATTTGATTCAACTATATTAGTTTGTAGATCATTTCTTCCAAGTGTTAACACATGATTAAAAAAGTGACATGACAGATTTCTTTTTACATATATCTGCTATCAATCAAATGAATCCTGTGTGACAATTATTGATGACTAAATACATTCCTTCTTAGTTATAGTTCCTGACAGTCTTTAAAAAATTGCAGATTTTAAGATATAAATTTTTGCTATAAGATGCAATTTATTATAAATTTAGTTATAGCATTCATATAATTTAAGTTGCTTCTATTGAACTTTATTTTGAAGTAATTTTTAAGGACACAGGCTATAACTCATAATTTATCAAGTATAATAGGTTAATTGTGACAATAAATCTATAGTAGTTATTTAGTATTTGGAATAACAATCATATTTCAAGTTTATTCTCTGTATAATTACCAAAAGTTCTCTCAGTACCAAAAAAATGTATCTCACATTATTAGTCACTATTAATTTTTCATGATTTTTAGAAAACTAATGAAAAGATTCATACTATTAATATGCCTAATATTTCCTGTAATTTGTATAAATTATAGTAGACTATTATGATAACAATCTCATGAATTTTACTGGATTTTCCAACATTCACATTATTAGCCAGTCTACTGAAACTCCAAGAAATTAAAGATTACAGCTTATCCCTACACACAAGCCACCAATCTGCCACTGGGTGACATGCCACTAGCATTCAGTATAGCATTCCAAAGTTCATATTTGCTGTTAAATTGTCATCCACAATATTTCATTTATATCACCACAACCTACATTTTTAAAAAAATCCTTACACTTCAATCAGGGTGATAATGCTACTAGGATTCAGGGAGTTACAAGGAGTGAAAGAGAATAAGATTTGTGAAGAAAAGGATGATAAATAAACAGAATTCAGGAAGATGGTGATTGACATTGCATTTAAATTTTTGAAGATTGTAGGTGGCAGGGAAGCAAGAAATTGGAGGAGAGTTCCACAGGTGAGAAGTGCTACAAAAAAACTATTAGAATAGAATTGACAGGTGCATCTAGTTAATTTAAGAGTAAAATGGTGAGACCTAGTTTGCCAATCTAGTAGCACACTTAAATTAATGATGTTAAGGCATTAAAGAGAACAGCTCATCAGAGCAATTGCCATGAAAATATTTATAGAAAAGACAAGTCACATCAGTAGGAAAGTGATGTCAAGATGCCAGGTCAGGATCGATTACATTACAGATCCTTCTTTGAATTTTGTCAAGAATCTTGAAATACATAGTAAGGGCACCAGACAAGATATCACAGCAGTATTCAATGCACAAATGAATGGTAGATTTATGTGCAATAAGGAGTCTGATGAAAAGAATTGTCTAGTACAACACAATGAACCAATTTTGCTAGCAGTAGACCTAGCAACTGATTCAATATAATCACTCCACTTCATGTCACTTAAAAAAAAGTGAGTCCAAGAAGTTGTAAAGTGTTGCTCTCCTGGAGCTTAGCATCAGACAGAAAAAGTTCTCTGCAGTGATTAAATGAAAGCAGTTTTGATTTGGAGGCATTAAAATTTGCAAACTATTCTTTGCCCAGTTAACCTCCTGATTAGATGCCCTTTTTGAGAACAGTTGCCAGTTTTATTTTGTTTGGTCTGTCAGACTTAATACTAAGACAGGAATAAATTGTCATCTGCATAGATAAATACCTAGTTGGAATATAATTTTATCAATAAGAACACTATTTTAGTCTGAAGAAATCTTTTTAAAGGACAAAACATGTTATATAAGTTATTTTTCATCCAATTTATATATCATATTCTCTCGTCCACCAATGTAAAATTTCCTTTTCAGAATGGCCCACAAATTTTCAAGCAAGTTAACGTCTAACAAACAAACAAACAAACAAACAAACAATCAAGCTGGTCACTTCATAGTCTGGTGTCTATTATTTAGATATTCTTTAGTTTTTTCACTGAATGTATTGTCATACATAAAGATTATATTTCTAAAAGTGTTTGGCATTTTCTTGAACTATTGCTTCACATGTGCCTTAAAAAACAAAACATGTCTAAGTTGTCATCTTAACACGATCTGGACTGTGCCATAGGCCTACCAATTCATCCTCTATAATTCAACCCCAAAATATCACACCACCCACCTTTGTCTTTTTTGGCATTTCAACATATGAAAGCAGTAGCCATCTATGCTTTACTTCCACCATTTGGACTATCAAGGGTAGCATGACATTTGTTAATGAAAAGAAAGGTTTAAAAATTAATTTTCATGTATTCTGTTGCCCATTTCGTTTGATTTCCCTTATTGATATCTTTTAAGGGAGCCTTAGTAATCAGTCTTAAATGTTCTGCAACTGGATATATGACTTATTACTAAATTGCTTAAAAATTTCATAGCTTGACAAAAATGTATGTTTTATAACTCTTGGTATTGGGACACAAATCAGCAAGTTCTTAACTTGCCCTTATCAAACCGGAATCAGAATTGTCCAGGATCTTCAATGAATTTCCTCACAGTTTGGTGGTAGTTAATGATTATTTTTGCCATTTTCAGCAATTGTTTTACCTTTTGGTAAGCTCTGAAGCCATTCAACCTTTTTCTAGCCATCAAATCAATCTTATGATTAGTAACTTCATCTAAGTGGTTTTTTAATATTTTCTTAATATATAAGCATTTGTATACTGTAGTTGTAGATATACTTTGGTCATATTGTTTTGTTTTCTAAGTTCACATATCTGAATTTTTGTTATTTATGTATATCATATATGTGTGTGTGTGTGTGTGTGTGTGTGACGTTTTCAACAAGATTTTTTTCCTTTTAGGGTTACATGAACTATTTAAAAGAAAACCCATTACCTTCTGGAGCAGAGGGTAAAGACAAGATCATTTTTGGCAATATTCACCAAATATATGATTGGCACAGAGAGTGAGTTATATTATTCATGTGTACAATAATTATTTATGTTGCATTTCTGTTTTGTAATTTTATATTTTCAGTTTATTATAATCCTGCAAATGTTTTCATTTTCGTTTTAGGATATTGCTAAATAATTTTAATTAAAATGATTGGTAAAATGGAATTTTTAAAGATAAGTTTTCTGTATATAAGCCACTCTTAAAAATAATCTGACTAATGAGAAAGGTATTTTGTATGTATTAATATATATAAAAGCTTATAGGAAATAAGATCCATATATGATCCATGAAAAATATAAATTTTTTGTTGAATAGGTCAGTAACAAATTCTGATTATATTCATATATATTTTTATATTGGAAGCATTATGGTGTACATTTTAATTTTTTTTTTTAAATCTCTACCATTTGAGTTTTTCACATTAATAATGATTTAAATGTAATTTTATATTTAAGGCACTTCTTTAAATGTATGCATTTTCTGTTTAGGACATTTCAACCTGAATTAGAAAAATGTTTAGAAGAACCTGATAAAGTAGGATCTGTTTTTGTAAGATATGTAAGTATTTCATAGAACTGTCAATTTTATTTAAAGTAAATTGAGTATGCTAGCTTTAGCATAGATGCTTTAAGATCATTTGATATGAAATTTATTTGAAAATGGATTTGTAATATATTTTATTTATTAAAAATGAATAGCTTCTTCAGAATTAATTTAGTAGCATGTTATGCTAATAAGCTTTAATCAAACCAAATTATGTGGTAATTGGAAATGTTATAATCTAAAAACTTGAATTTTATTTCATGGTTTTTAGATCTTTAAAATATTAGATGTAATTTTATTTTCTTAATATCCATAACATTCCATGTAGATCTGGCTCCATGTAAAAAAAAAAAAAAAAAAAAAAAAATTATTTTACATAATGAATATTTATTTTTTTAATATAATTTCCTTTGTCTATGTACTTAACTCATAGATCAAAACTCCAACTACCAACTCATTGATCTACCCTTGTGTTTTTAATATTTTAGAATCTATTAATAAACTGAAAGTTATGCTGAATTGTAAAAATCCTTTTACTAAATTAAATTTTGCTTGTCTTTTCAGGAAAAACGATTGTATATGTATGTAAAATATTGTGAAAACAAACCTAAATCTGATATAATTGTGGCAGAATATGTAGATTCAGTTTTTGAGGTGAGCATTAAATTTTCTTTTTTTAATTTGCCTATGTCCAAACATTAATATTTAAAATGTTAATTCATTTTTCAAGCAATATTGTAATTTTTTTTTTCATGTAAAGTATTAAAAGAATCTCCTAAACCTGTTAGGTAACATTATGTTAAAAAGTTTTTGTTTATCATATAACAAATTCCTATTAATATTTAATGAAATTGTTATTTTAATCCCCTATTTGCTATTATCTTTAATTCTATATATTGCAGCAATTAATCAAATACTTTTGGATTCATGCTATAAGAAATGTATTAAATTAAACTCCTCAAAACAAACTCTTTCTCATATACATACATGGTATTATTCTTGCATAAACTTATGTCATTTATTTCTTTGCTCTTGGAAAGAACATCCACTCTCAGAAAATAGTGGAAAATCACTTTACATTCCTTTCTAGCAAAAATTAAAATTAAGCTTTATAAGTTAATGTAAATGTTAAACAACTAATCTGCTTTCCATTTCAAGTAACAAATAACAATGTCCATAAATTATTGATACTTTGAATGTAATCAGCAATATGCCAATGAGAGTCGGGGATTACTCATAAGTGGAAGAAACAAATGGCAATTCTTTATTACATTGGAATGTTATATATGACAAGCAGACTAGTTTAAAAAAAATATACAAGGCATACAGCAAATGTTAAATTTAGCATTTATAAATGTTTATAAAGAAACTTTTTGATCTGAAGAAAAATTTACTTGGAATTCAAAGAGAACATCTTTTCTTAATTTGGCTCTATACATTTAGAGTAACTTACTATGCATGAGGACATCTTTTAACCTTTAAAATAATAGCTGTTTTCTATTGGCTGCTCTATATATTTCAAATATTTTTTGTCTCTAGGACATCAGGCAGAAATTAGGTCATCGCCTCCAGCTTCAAGACCTGCTCATCAAACCTATCCAAAGAATTATGAAGTATCAACTATTATTAAAAGTAAGTTTGTTTATTTGTTTTTTTTTATTTCCTTTTTCTTCTAATTTTTACTGCTAGAATAATAGGTATTCTCAAAAATTGCTTTGGAGAAAATCTTTTATAGTAAATATGTATACATTTTGTTTCACACACTTTATAAAAGTCTGTCCTTAATCTGCTCTGCATCTTGAAAATAATATCTCTATATTTTTACATTTGAAAACTTGTAAGAAATACAAGCTGGATTATCAGATGATGTTATAGAGAAAAATTAACTCTTTTGTTTTGTTTAGTTGGGGATTTTTATATATTTTAAATTAAAAAGAATAAATTTCTTTTAGTTTGAAACTATTTTAAAATATAAAATCCTAATTGATACAAAAAAGTTTACATATATAGAAAAAAAGAGGACATATTTATGGTATGCAGTAACTTATGATAGACATAATTAAATTAATATTAATATGCCTAACCCTATTCTATAAATAGAATATGTAGGTAATGCATTAAGTTCCAATTTTTGTCATTTTATTATTTAGTCTTCAATGATATTTAAATGATTTGTTTAGGTTCCAATCTCTTATGAAAGTCAAAAATTAGAATAATTTATGTATAGCTTTTCATATTGTATTAACATTTTCCTCTTTAAAATGTTTTTTTTCTTCTTTTGTTTCCTTATACTGATACTCTATCTTTGATTAAAGTTCTTATTTCTAATTTCTTTTAGCAGGCATTTTTATTATGTATCTTAGAAAATGTATCTTTCACTTGAATTCCCTGATTAAGTCTACAAAAGATAGTTCTACCTAATAATACTCTTCTACCGTTCTTCATTAAATTTTATATTGTACTTCTTATTCATGGTCAAAAATGGTATCCTCTTTTATTCTGCTTGTTTTATTTCAGGATATTTTATTACATACTCAGAAGGCTGGTTTGGATACTGCTGACTTAAAGAAGGCTGTGGCTGTGATGTGTATAGTGCCAAAAGCTGCTAATGATATGATGCAGGTTGGCCGTTTACAAGGGTTTGATGTAAGTTTAGCTTCAGTTTCTTTTATTATCTGAAAATCTTTCATAATAAACACAATATTGCTATCATAAAACAAAGATAAAATAATTTTGGTAGTTAAATTTCCCAATAAGGTTTTTATAATATTAAATATTTTAAAATTTTGCTTCTGATCAAGCAAAAATACAATAAACAAAGAATCTAATTTAATTTTCTTTCTGTTTTTTAGTATTTATGTATGAACTATATTATTACTGTTGATAAACTGACATTTTTCTGAATTTTTGTTTGTATCATTTGAGTATTTGCATTTAAGCTGGTTTTAATTCATTACATCTTTCAATGCTTGTATTGGAAAATTCAAAGTAGATCTTAATATTTTAATCAAGCATTTTTCATATATTCTACTTTATTTTTATATGTTGAAAGAGAATGTTAATTTTTTTTTTTATAGGGTAAATTGACAGCTCAAGGAAAGTTGTTACTTCAGGTGAGAATAATTTTTCTTTATTGCATTGCATAACAAATAAAACAAGATTTTATTTTCCTTCATTTCATTGCATTAAGATTTTTTTTACATATTTTTATTCTCCTATAATGCATATGCAATATGTTGGGCTCTTTATAATGTGATATATGTTACTCTTTATAATACAATATATGTTACTTTAGAAAGAAGCATTGCAGTCATGGAGTATACATCCAGTAAAAGACTGTTAATGGAAAAGATTAAGCATGAAAGTAACGATATGAGTTGCTGTTAACAGATACGACGAATTTTTAATTTCTTTGTTTTTGCAATATATACTAAGTGTACATCTGTATTAAATTGTCTTGAAATGCCCATCTTAACAGAATATACAAACAGCTGTATGTGCATTCAAAGGGTTCAAAATAATAAAGGGTGCATTTTTATAAAATTAATATTAAATTTTTTTTTTTTTTTTTTTTTTTTTTCTTATTAAAGGAAACTCTATTGGTTGCTGAAGTGTCAGAAGGAACTCACTCCAAGTTCAGAGAAAGACGGGTTTTTCTATTTGAACAGATCATAATATTCAGTGAAGTAATTGAAGAAAAGAAGAAAGGCAGTTTTTATAATGCCAATTATATTTATAAAAATACAGTAAAGGTAAGTTTTATCTCCTTTAAAAAATTCTGTTTATATTAATTTATTTCAGTTTCTGTCAATGGATGTTGTAAATATAGGATAGTTCAGCAAAAACTTTTCCTATTCTTCAAATAAGATAGGAAAAAGTAATGTATCCAGTCAAAATATTCTTCCTTTATCTTTATAACTACTTTGATATCTCATCATCACATCTCTTTCTAAAAACATTCTTAATTCAAATAACTTATAAATTCATTGAAGGCTTCACTTTAACCCTGAGTAGAGTTCTTGCCTGTTAGAAAGTGGTATAGTTACTAATAGTATCATCTTTATGATGGCGCTTTGATGAATAGTTAGGGTGTAATGAAGTCTTCCTTTTTGAATGGATTTAATTTTCTAATCCCTTGTACACTTTGAATGACTACCTTAAACACTTCCCTATGCCATAGTCCATTTATGTAGTCATACAGATAAACACCAACTTCAGTAAAACATAATAAGCAAAGAATCTAAGTGAATTCATTATTTTTAATATTTATGTATGAACAATATTCTTCATTATTATTGTTCATGCTGTTGATTGGTCTCTCCTGAGTTTTTATAACTGAAATCTCCATATGTTAATTTTTAAAAGTGGTTTGTTCTGTATTGCTTTAAAATTTATTTCTCCATTTATAGCCTAACTTATAGAAATATAAAATGAAAAAAATCACAAGTTGAAAAGCTTTTCCTATTTGAAAAAACCAATATAGGGTAAAAATTAATTAAATGAAAAATTATACACAAATTATCAAAAGATTAAAACAAATGATAAAAACATTAAACTTAAAGCAAAATTGGCAATTTCATAGTGAGCAATTTAATAAAATTTTATGTACATTTAATCAACAATTATATGAATATCATTTTGCATTGAATATTTTTATTTGATTTTGTGTCATAATAAAAAAATGATTTTAAAATAATTTCATAGTTTCATAATTTCATACAATGATTTCTTTAGATTATACACTGCTAGCCAAAATTTGAAGGTCAATGAAAAAAGAAAAAAAATATACCTTTTGTGTTACTCAACCACATTTGAGTAGAGCTTTGAAAAATGAAAACAAAAGGAAAAATAAAAATTAAACTTAAAATAGTTTAATTTTTATTTTTCCTTTTGTTTTCATTTAATAGGAAAAATTTGAATACTGGGAAATTAGGCTAAATATTAGCTGGTCAAAAGTTTAACTCTATTTAAATAAAGCTTTAATTGATAAGCATGTTATGAAATTTAGTCATTTGCGTTGAAGCATTAGCACAGTCAACATCTCCCACTGATATTTCCTGTGTTACATTAGGTAAAAACATGGCAAAGGCTAAAAAGTTAAGTTTAATTGTGTAATAATTGTTGAGCTGCAGAAGCAAGGTCTCACTATGTACCATTGCTAGTGAAATTGGATGTAGTCAAATTGCTGTTGCAAATTTCTTAAAAGACCCTGAACAATACAGAATGAGAATTTCAATTAGTCAGTATTGAGCAGGAGGATTTGACAGGTTGTTCAGCAAGACACTAGCCAATCATCAAACCAGATTTTAAGGCCCTTACAGACACAGAATGCAGCTCAAGAGCCATAAGACGGTATTTATGAAAGAAAAGCTTTAAAAACTGTAAACATCTTCAAAGTTCACATTTTTCACACTACAAAACAGCTTGGTTAAACTTTGCTGATACACGGGATATAGAAAAGCAGAAGTTTGTTTTCTGAGAAAAAATTTAAGCTGAATGATCCAGATGGCTTCCAATGTTACTGGTACTATAAGGATATCCCACCAGACATTTTCTACATGGCACAATAGAAGAGCTTTTATAACAATCTGGAACAGTGGAGCTTCAGGTTATACAGGAGTGTCAAACTGTGTGGCTGTTTACATTGATATGTTGGAGAGAGCATCCTTATTGAATGAAGGCCCTCACTTGTGTAGCAATGACTGAATCTTTCAATCTATAATACCCACAGGACAAAGGACTCTTACATGGTAAGTAATGTGATTCTTTTGGGCCATCCAGTGTGTCCACCTGATCTGAACCCCACTGAAAATGTTTGGAGGTTGATGGTAAGGGAAATGGACATCCATTCCAAACAGTGCAGATCTTCTGTGAAACTATCTTCACCACTTGGAATAACATTCCAGCTAATCTTCTGTAGGTACTTATATTGACTATGCCAAAGCAAATTTTTCAAGTTATTCACAATGATGGCCATACAACTCCTACTGCGACATCTCATTGAGGATTATCTACTCTGTTTTGGATTTCTTTTATGTATGGTCTTAAACTTTTGACCAGCTAGTATTTAGCCTAATTTCCAAGTATTCAAATTTTCCCTATTAAATACTAACAAAATTTAATTTTTATTTTTCCTTTTCTTATTTTCATTTTTTGAAGCTCTACTCAAATCAGTGGTTGAGACTAACAATACAAAAGGTACATTTTTGCTTTATTTTTATTGGCCTTAATATTTTGGCTGGCAGTGTATTTCCTCAACCACCTTTATAAAATTGAGAACTTTAAAATTTTTGAAATATGCTTTTACCAGGCAACTAGACTATGCAGAGTACATTTTTTTTAATATGAAAACATCTTCACTACTGTTATACAGTATGCAATGCTTACCAACAATTTTTTTTTTTTTTTTTACTTTTGGAACCATTGTCTTTCAAGAATGATTTTAAAACAAAAAATATTGTAACAGATCTGATGAGACACTGCCTTACAACATTCCCAAACACCAAGACATTTTTTTTTAGTTTTTTTAATACAATTTTCACTTTTATTTTAATATCCTGTGAGTTTTAAGTAAAATATTTTAAAATTGTTCAAGATTTTTAATGAAATTGTAATGAATGTTTTGGTTCAAATTCATTGTTTTATTGTTTTTTTATTTCGTTTTTAAATATTTGTGTATGAGAATTAATTTTTATAGATTTCATGCCCAAAGCTCACTTGAATTTAAGTGAATATTTGTTTGATTGACCTTTTTTAAAAAAATGCATTGATGTATCAGAAAATAGATATCTTTTCTCAAACTTGCTTAGACTTAAATTTACATTTTGAATATATTATCTTTAAAAAAAAAAACTGTTGCATTTCTTAAATTCACTTCTAGGTTAATAAAATGTCAATGACTGAAAAAGTGGAAGGGGAGCCACTAAGATTTGTTCTTGTGGATAGAACACCTGGCACAGACATGAGGTTTATTGTGCAAGCTCCATCGGAGGAAGTTAAAAATGAATGGATTACACAGATCCGTTCTATATTAGATATGCAAGGAGATTTTCTACGAGGTAAGTTCATTTTTATGCCTGTTATGTGCAAATATTATTCTAAATATTCTTTTAAATGATGTTGACGAATATTCCTTCAGATTACTGCAATCAAATATACTTTAGGCTAATATCTGGGTAGCTCTAAATGAGGAAGGTGTTAGCGTATTCCAGAATTTCTAGTTCTAAGAATAAAACTTTACAAAGATATACTTTTCAATCAAAAGTTTTTATAAATTTTTAATATTTCCCCAATAAAAAATATTTCCTATAGAGGTCATTTATTAACATTTTGGTTATATTCATCCAATAAGTGTATCTGGGATATAATGATTTTTTTTTTTATGAATTATCTCGGTTATGCAAGGTGTGATCAAAAAGTTTGTAAACTGATTGAATTTAGTGTTTCTCAATAATTTTAAAGAGACAAGTAGTAATTGAAATTTTAGTTTGTATCAGTTACTCTTAGAAAAATTAATCCAACAGAGCAATTTTATCAAGATCAACATTAGTTTGAGCAAATAAAAATAATTTGTTAAAAATTTAGCAAATTATTTTTAAATACAGGGTTTTTGTGTGTCCGCACAACTTGTGTTAAATTTGCAAAAACATTCTCATTTTTAGTCACCAACTGACAATCATTTTCAAGGACCTTTTCTTGCTTAGCATTTTTTCTTAAATAAAACCAAATTTGAAAGACAAGCTTAGCAATCATCTTCAGTGCACAGTTGAAAGTTTAAAGCATTTTTGGCATTTTAGTTTTATAAACAGGTCTCTTGCCACATTAAAATTGTTTTTGAGAGTTTTTTTATGCACACATTTCATGCTATTTTTGTATATTTATCTGGTCAAATTGGAGAAGTGCTTTTTACTTATTTAAGCCAAAATGTTGCTGTTGAAAAGTATGCACTACTATTGAGATGAATGTTTGTAAGAGTAACTTATGCAATCTAAAAGTTAAACTATAACTTGCCTCTTTTACAATATTTGCATCTATTGAATTCAAACATGTGACACACTTTTTTTATAACACTTTGTATCATTCTTAATGAAGCTTTATTTAGGTGGCTTTTTTTATATCCAATTAATCCTGTAATAGATGCATCAGGTCAAAATCATTAACAATTTACAATTCATATCTTTAAATTGTCTGTAAATTATTGCAGAAAATTCAATATTAAGATTGAAATTTGGACACTCACATCACTTCATTTTACTTTTCTCAATTTATTGTTTTATTTTAATAGTTTTTCAGTTTGCTTACTTATCAATGGCTCTATCTATTAGGCTTTCAGCATATAGAATAAAGCCCAATCACTTCCTTCTGCAGACAACTTCCTGTTCATGACATCCAGAACTACCATCAACAACACTTGTAAATCTACCAGCTGACATTGCAGACCAATTTGTTTGGGTAATATATATATAACAGCACCACCCCAAAAACACATATAATCACCATTGTCTTCTGTATCAACACATTTCTCTTGTATAGAGTTTGTAGCACATTCATTTAGTCTGAAACAGAAGAGTGGCCCTTTATTACAACTCTAGACATGGTGCAAAATTTAAAAGGCAATCAACAAATTTAAAATAATTACAGTTATTTTAATATAGATTTTCTCCATTTAAAAAAAATCAGTTTCAGCAGTTTACAGCTTAATTAAAATGAAAATATTTTGAACTAGGTTTATATATATAATTTTTTTTTTTTTTTTTTTTTTTAACTGTTTAGTCACTCATGTTACATTATTGGTATTTAACACAAAACAAAATTTATTGAATTTCATTAATGGATCACTTTCCTGATGAACATTATGGGATAAAATGTTTAATTTCTCCCAACTTTTGAACAATTTTCAAACATTGATACATCAAGTATGTCGATAAAAAATGTTTAAAGCTAGATTAAGAGATAATTGCATAAATAACTTGTATTCTGAAGTAAGTGTTCTTACTATTTTATTCATAATAGAGGGGATCTCAAAATTCAAGAACAATTTTCACAAGTTTAAATAAAATTAAGAAATTTGCATGGAATTTAGCCTGTTTACTGTGCTTCTGTTTTTTTGTCCTCACTGCATTCACTACACATATTTGTTGTCTAGGTGTTATCCACTGAGTTACCCAGTTAGAATACAGTCTTTATTTGTATACACTTTGTTGTGTATACTTTGTTGTATGTTAATCAGAAGTGGCCTGAATTGATGTTCTTTTTGGTTTTGTTTTGACTTTTTTTCCCCCAAAAAAATGCTTTAAAAAATATATGAATACTTTCATATTCGGTGATTATTTTTATTGTTTTTAATGTTGTCTTTTTATATTTTTAGCCTTCAACTTTCACTATTTATGCAACATTTTTTTATTTATTTAAAATCACTATTATATATATTTACATTTTATCAATTTAGATAAATGATTGCACATTTAAGATTAATAAAAAATAGACTTTAAATTTTTTGATCTAGGTAAAGTTGATAAATATTTAAAGCTAGTTCAGAAGAGGTAATTATAACAATAAGCTGGTGATAAAAAATAAAAAATAGTACAATCCATTAAACTTTATGAATAATATTGATTCACTTTGATCAATAATTAAATTTTTATTTCCATATTTCTTTATAAGTATGAATTTAATGTGAGTACAGAATTGTAAACATCAGTGGAGTTGTATATATTTTTCATATGAATGAAGTTTTATATTTCTGTTTTCACTATTGTAACATAGGAAAAATACTTTTTTATTGCAAAACAAGACAGTTGTGCTTGGTTGTATCTATATCATTCCTTTGAAATAAAGAAAACAATTTTGATAATCATACATACCATTTTTCAGTAATGATAGATTGCTTGTATAACATTTGGTTCCTCATTCTTTCCAATTTAAATATTTTCTCCATATATTCTGGAAATACTCTTAAATTTCCAAACAAATCCTGCATCTTCCATATACTTTCAAAACCAAGAATAATATTAAAAAAATTCTATGCTTGATTGTGAATATTTGTTGCTTTTTACTATTTTCCTAAAAACATATTGGTTAGTTTGGAAATTAAATTTTTCTTAAGATAATGTCATAGTTTATAATCTGTGATAATCCTTAACAACTGAGTGTTGCAAAAGCCTTGAATATGAGTCAGTATTGTTACTGTAAAGAATTATAATGACCAAAATTTAGACAATGCATATTTTTTTTTTTTAACTAATTCTAGTTATGTAAAAGTCAAAATGAATCTTGGAATTTGCTTGTGTTTTGTAACGATCTAAAAGTATCATACAATGGTTAATAAGCCTTATAACCATTGTACAATTTTCAGCATGATTGACTAACAAATTTTAATTAAAAATCTTCCTGGTAATATGAATTCAGTCTTAAATTCTGACAGGATTTAATATTCTCATAGTAATATGTAAATCACTCATTCAAATACTTGATATAATAAAATCCTTCTACTTTTGAATAAGCATGAAATGATTTGTTTTTATTAGGATTCTTAAAAATGTCTTTTTAACAGGGCAATGAGATTTTTGACTGATGTCTAGATATCTCAAATAATAGATAGGCCTAATTTTGTGGTCAATGTTCCTGTCTAATGTGGCATGCTCTGAAAGATATTTGTTTTATAGTTTCAGTATTATCTTTTGAAAAAAAAAAAAAAGAATGTTAAATGCAAAGGGAAAAATATTGCTTTTAAAAATGATAGACAAATATTTTTAAATGTAATTCAAGATTGATTTTAAAATTTCTGGATATCACTTGGTGACTTCTTTTTTTATATACAAAGGCTGGTATTTTTGTTTCTTGAATAAAAATGAGTTTTTGAAATATGTATTTTGATTAAAACTTTCCATTTTTCTTTTATTAATTTTACTTGTAGCTCTTCAGTCACCGATTGCCTATCAGAAAGAAAGGACGAAAGAGTTGTAAGTACCTTGCCTTTCCGGATGTGTAACAGTTCATGCAGTAGCCATGCCACACAAGACTGTAGCTAATTCTTGGATTACAGGCCTATGTCTGCTTGGCCCATAATTCTTGGATTATTGGGCGTGCTGCTGTCTTTTTTCTTTACTTAAAAAAAAAAAAAAAAAGAGGAAAAGAAAAAGGAGAAACCATGAATGAAAAGATAAAAGAAAATATGCTGGGATTAAAGCTGCTCTAATCCTGCTCTCATGATTTCCTTTTTTCCCCCCATCCCTCACTATACATAAGTTATGATGATATCATTAAGAAAAAAAAAAAACTGTTTCAACTCTGGCTTTCTGATTTGGTTCATCAGTGAATGCCTTGAGTGGACCATTATTTTTATGCTAAGCTTTAACTATTGTAGCCAGTCTGGTGACAACAGTTATTCTATTTGATGTCACTGCTGTTGTTACTATGCTGAAATTTTTGCATCCAGAAAAGTTTCTTCGTTTTAGTCACTGCCTGTCTGCTGACGAAGTCCAAATATAAAAATGTCTTATTTTAAAAAAGAAAATCAAACAAACAAACAAAAAACATTGTTTCATGGTGGAAACTTTGGGAACACTATAAAAAAAACAAAAAAAACTATACTACTATCAAAAATGGACAGAACTGAGACATCTACAAATGATTCAATAACTCAGCCCCACTTTTACATGTAAAAACAAAAACAAAAAAAAATTAAGCCAAAAAATAAAGAGTCCTGGTGAACCTACATTGAAATTTGCTCAAAAACAGCTGGCTCTCTCCCAATCTCAATCCTTTACATTTGTTGTATCATTGCATGTTTTATTATATTTCTTTCATTTTTGTCTATTATTCATGTTTGCAGATAGGCTTTTAAATGTTATCATTTATAGCCTGTCAACATTTATTTCATTCTTTCTCTCTTTATATATATATATATATATATATATATATAAAATCTCTTTTTTTGCTCCTCAGACTTCAAATATTTATAAAATTTTCAAACAAATAAACTAGTCACTGTGCCAAACAAAAAATCAAATGAATAAAGGAAAATAAGTTGCTTATTGGCAAATTTTACTATGGTGCTTCTTTTTCACTGATTTTTGTCATTACTGAATATGTCCATGAGGCTCTGCTGTTGTCTTGCTTGTATTTATCCAGGTTGTCCACACAGTCCCCCCTCCCAAGCAACTATAGATACCAACAAATTGATTTTCACTCACAACCAAAATGCTTTCTCTTAATTGATTCCATGTCAATTTGATTATAGGAATACTCTATGCTGCAAAAAAATTGTTCTACCTTTTTTGATAATCTATTCAACAAAACATTTGCCCCCTTGCTGACCTTTTTGTTAGTCAGCTTGATGTTGATTTAATTTTTTATGTCCAAAGACAAGATTTTTATTTCCATAATAATGGATATCAAACCTTTCTAGAATAGCTAAAAATTTTTATAATTAGACTATATTGTTTCATATTTAAATGTAAAATGTAGTGATTTTTAGGAAAAGTAATATCCATGTTTAGTAACTGACTATTGATTTATAGAAATAACCAGTCATTTTAACATATCAGAATTATTTTTCTATTATGAACATTTTTTATCATTATTATATTTGCTGCTTCATTTTATGATTAAATTTTCCTCACATTTTATTTCTTCTAAATCAAAAGAATAATATTAATTTAGAAGATAGAAAAAAAATCTTTGAGTATCATTTTTTTATGATTACCAGCCTAAATCTAAAAATATGATGCCAATTTGAGGTAGTATCATTTTAAGAACCATTCTCAGTAGAGAAAATTATTTATTACATTATCCACATTTTTATTAATTTGGCAGATTAGATTTCCTAACAGTATTAGAGTAGTCACTTTTCAAGAACTTAATAGAATTTGATTGTTTTTTTTTTGGGGGGGGTATGCTCTTGCATTAGTCTTAATACAGTAAAAAGCTCAAAAGAAACAATATTTTGAATGCAGATATGGTAATTGTATTCCTTGGAGATTTAAATCATATTCAATCTTTTATTTTAGATGTTTTTACTAATGAAAAAAAAGTGTAGTTGGGTGTAGGGTAATAGAACAAATCAATTAAATCTACACTGATGTTTTGACTGTAATTTTAGAAAAAGAAAAGGTAGGTAAAACTCATTTATTCCTGAGTTACAAATTTTTGCTGCCTTGATTTTTTTTTTTTTAATGAGTACAGTTGGGATTTCTTCTTTGTTAGAACAAAAGTGGTTGTTATAAATATATAATTAATGATGAAAAGAATCTTGATATATTTTCTTGCTTGAAAATCATTTTCTTTTAGATACTTGTAGGGTTTTAAAATATTTCTCTAATTTTGAATTAACTCATATGATGACTAAAGTTGTTTTTTTATCTATAAAAATAGTTTTTATTTAGATTATATTTAAAAAATAAAACTAATCAATATTTTAAATAAGACCTGCCTAAATTCTTTTTTAGCTGCATCACTTTCCAAAGCAGAGTTTAGTCCACTAAGCTACTATTAAATTTTACTTACTATTTTCTATTTCAATAATATGACATGCCTTCATTTTATATACTAACATTTGTTATTCTGATCACAATTGGTTCAACATGAAAATTGAGTAAAATCCAGGTCTTTACCTCCTCCTACAGAATGTAGTTCAGTGGTTGTATAGAAGAAAAAAATTCTAATTCATGCTTGTTACTACTGCTGTCTACCAAAAGATAATTGGCCTATTTAACTCTAGTTTACATTCATTTCTATTTTGAATTTCCATGTTTTGCATAAAAAAGTTAAAAATTGAAAAACAGTGATTTATTGTTAATATTTTAATAATTTTTTAATCAATTGTTTTTATAGTCTAATATAAATTAAATTTCTGCAAAAGGAGTATGATTTTTATTTCTGTTTTAAATTAATCTATTTGCCATTTTATTTATTACCAACAATGATTAATAATCTTTTTCCTCTTCTCAAATATTGTGTAGTCAAAAGAATTCTCATTGCCTTATCTTTGAAATATTGGTTCTGATTCTCAGTGTGTCAAGATTGTGGCACAAAGTCCATTTTTTTAAGTAAACTGAAATTGTCATAGCCTAAAGTGTATACATTATTTTCATTTTTATTTTTTTATTGTAAGCTACTTGCTTCTCTTTATCATCTCAGCATTGGTGTAAATATGTGATCGACAATCTATGAAAATGGTATTGACTAATTTTTTTTTTTTATTTGCGTACAAATAAAACCTTTCTTTCAATTACTGTAAGCCAAACTTGTTGATTCTTATCACTTAGCAAATTGTGATTCTTATTTGAATCATAATTTTTCCTCTTTTTTTTTTCTTTTTTTTAAATTCCTTTGCCTCTTTCTGTGAAGAATGTTATTGAAATTAGTGATTGTACAGGTCATTTTTCAAATTGATATTTTTTCTTTCTCAAACTATACACAAGTTTCTGGACTCTGTATGAAATTTGAATTCAAATAGCAATAGATTTAATTACTGCCATACCATATAAACTACAATGTGCTAGTTTTACCAGACTGATGGCAGTAGTTGACTTACAGTATCTCCAAAATGGCATTAAAACTGGAATTGGGGAACCTAATGGTCAATTCCATTTTTTTTTTCATTTTTTGCTACATTAATGTGAATATTTACATCTTAAGTATATGTTGTAAGCAAATGAATAAACAGTATAATGTTTTGCTATCTACTTTTATTTTAACTTTCCATTGGCTGTGATGAGAGAAACAATCGATTAGCTTCTTGTTAGCCTTCATTCTAGAAAATTATCATCTTGCAGTTCAATTATGTCATGGACGTATCTTTCATTGTAATATTTCCATAATCACTTACTAAATACTTGAAATATAAAATGAAAAAATGTATTTAAAATTGAATCCTTGTATTAAACAATTCATTCAAGTATTTTTTTAAGTTAAAAAAAAAAAAAAATTATCAGAAAGTGTGTGTGCATGTGCACGCACACACACACACACACACACACACACACACACACAAAAACAAAAACCTAATAATTTTTTATTTTAATGGACCATAAATTGATATCATGTTGGCTTTTTGTTTGTTTTTGTTCTCATCTAAATCTACTCTCACCTACATGCCAGCTCACAATCTATTAGCTTGACAAGCACCTATAAATGTGTGCCAACCATTTTTGGCTTTCTTTTGTCAGGCCCTTAAATTGGCACTCTACTGGATATGTACATCTGTTGAGATTTTAATAAGCTATTCTTTTCTATTTTCTTCATATCTCACTTTTTCTTTTTTTTTTTCTTAAGTATTTGATTTGATTTTTCTCTTTTTATTTATTGATTTTTTTTTCCTTAATTTCTCTTCTGTAAAATTTTCTTCTACTTCCTCTTTTTGTATGAAAATTATTGAATCTGTGAATTAATTTAGGACTTATTGGTCCTACACTCTGTGAATAATAATGATCATTTGGATGGACATAGTAGTGTCAAAATATTTCTGATTCAATAAAATTTGTTTTTGTTATATTGAATACTTTTTTCATTATTTCTATCTACATGAATACATTCCAACATTTATTTTATTGGATTGTATCCTTGTTCTTTTTTGTGTTGTTTTCTTTTAATTTTATTCTAAGTTTTTTTTTGTTTTTTTTTTCTCCTTTTTATATACACCATTGTTTTTCATAAAAACAAATTTTGCAGTTCTGCAATTACAACTAGTTTTGACACTGTTCCAATGCTTAGCACTTGACAATTACAATGGATGTCAGTATGTTAAAACTTTGAATTATTAACTGCTGTTTAAAAAAAAAAAATGAAGTATTTGATAGAAAAATTAAATTTAAAAAAAATGTTCCTGTAAATAATCTATTAACTTTACAATCACCTAATTTATGTTTATAAATAAAATAGAAACAGTACTTTGTAAAATATTGGATTTTGTCAGCTTTTTTTCACTTTTCATATAAAATTAGTTTATTTGATGTTTTTC